AGAAAGAAAGAAAGAAAGAAAGAAAGAAAGAAAGAAAGAAAGAAAGAAAGAAAGAAAGAAAGAAAGAAAGAAACTAAATTTCGGCTGCAACAAGTACGTTTCTGACAGGTTGACCCTCCCAATATGGCGGCAGCAGTGACGTAGAAACAACACTCAGCGTCACTTCCTGGTCCAGGTCTGCAGTTCCCGCGGGTTTGAACTGAAGCAGAACACCAGGCGAGCAGAGAAAACCAACAGAGCGGCTCTAAACTCACAGGAACTTTGTGTCACTCAGTTATTCTGACATTATCTTGTTAAAACTCTCTGTCTGAGACGGAAACAACACCGTCATTTAACAATTCATCACTCAAACCCTTGTTTTTCAGGAAGGAAGCGTTCCCACAGCTGAGAAATGTAACGGAACTCACCCGGCGGACGGCCGTGGCAGAGGGAAGAGAAGAGCAGCCAGACAACATGGCGGCCAAACATGACAAAACCCCCGAGGTGGAGCAGATGATTTATCAGACCTCACACCGGACAGAACCACTGATGGAGAAATGTTTGTTGTGTTTGGAGTCCGACTCTTCTTCTTCGTGTGTTTAATGACAGCTGGTAAACAACTGAAGGTGTTCATTACCGCCTCCTACTGGTGTGGAGTGTGTTTCAAGATGTTTAATTTATTGTTTTATTTATGTGTTGTTCCACATGAAACTCAAATTCTATGAAACAATTTTTAAAAAAATCTTATTATAATTTGTATATGTTTACTCCCCAAGTTCCTTTGCAGTGTGTCTATTATAAAAAAGGTGTGTGTATTATACTCATTTTCCTCAATATTTTCAAACTGTTTCATCATGAACTTTCTTTTTGTTCATATTTCTGACATTTCATTAAAACATGTAGTAAAATGTCTGCTCTGCTGTCTGAATGACGGTTTTAAACTGAATAATACTGAACTTGAATCTGAACATTTTGTTTTAATGGTTTTACTTCTTCGACCCTCTGCATAGCTAATAAAACTGCAATCATTTCTCCTGTATGAGGTGAGACTCCTCTTCTTCTCTTCTTTTAATGGTGGTTGATCAACTTCATACCATCCTCTGCTGCTCAGCAGAGTGAAACGACTGAAAAAAGACAATTTGCTCAGTATKTAAATGTTTAGGTAAAGCATTTTAAAGAAGGTTTATTGTTTTGTTTCACCTGCAGCAGTCACACACAGATCATTTTAAGCTGTCAACATGTTCCCAGGCCTTACAACAAACAATCTGTGGATCTGTGAAGCTAAGGTTGATCTACAAGCAGCCAGACTTCCCATCAGCAGGGTCCAGTTTAAAAGCTGCCCTCCTTGTTAAAGCTTCAGGGTAAAGTTATTAACCTAAATCCAAAAATGAAACAAAAAAACTCTTCATGTTCTGAAGTTGTGTCAGAACAACAGTGGTTGTTTGGTTTAAGTCATGTTCTAAAACCTCAGTAAATAAATGTCAGCTCAATAAATCCTGACTGTGTTCAGGAACCTTCCTTTTGTCACATCTTCAGCACCGACTGTTTACTGCAGCTGCTGATTTGTTTTCTTCTTCCTCTGTAGGCCTGCTGTCATCATCGTCTCATCTGTTGTCAGCTGTCATGTCAGACAGGTGAACAAAACTTTATTCCATTTATTCAACAGGAAGAGATTACTAAAAATCAAGCCTGACTCAGCATAATTGCTGTTTTACAGCAGGTTCCTGTTCTGCAGCACATAAAACACTCAGA